ATTGCGGTCACAGCAGTGAAGACATTTTGAGCTGGAAATTTCCCGTTATTAAATACCTTACTGAAGGTAGGTGATACATTTTGACGGACACTATTTAATAGGATACATTCTATGCAGCCTAAGAAACTGTTTCCGGGACTATTTCCAAGCCTAATATTAATGTTTATCACAATCTTAACAATTATATTTTTATCACACTAATAGTACTCGTTGTACAATTCAAGTTAAATAGATAATGTTCGACAATAATTTGATATGCACGATGCAAATGAGAAAGACGCCGCGTGACAAACCAGATTCGACAGAAACGATGGTTACACTGTGGAATCATATATGTCAGAGACATGCTAGATTACTTTCTCATCGGTCGAACAAACTCCATTAAAAACTTTTGCAGGCACTTCGCCGAACGCAGCTGCAGCCACGCCAACTTTTTAGGACCATGATAAAGTTGGGTCGTACTGAGCTTCTAGTTGAGTGCATGGATAGCCTGTCATGTGTCATTGTCCATTCCAAAAGACCGTTCCTTGTCCACATCGTATAATGGTGGCTACATTATTCGAGGATTTATAGCGAATAATCGGTAGAAACTTTCAGTGATGTCGAAAGCTGCTCAGCAAGAGTACCGCCAAATGAACACATTCAGCATGAAACCAACCATGCCTCCTTTGTGGCATGAAAATGTTCAGGTGATTTTTTGGTGTGATTTGCCAAGCTGCGTCCAACGAAAAAGTTCCCATAATATAAAACTACCATAAAACTACCATAATTACGCATAATTTGCCAGAAAAGTTTAAGTTCGGTTTGGAAGCAGAATTTAGTCGGAATAATGCATCACGTGGGGTTTTGTACCCGGTTTCAGCTCCGCCCTGCACCTCCTATCTCATGCACCTCCTATCTCCTCAATAGCTTAGAAAAACGGCACATTGTTAAAAAATAATCTACAACGCAAAGTGGGCTTGCATTTACGCAAAATTTCTAACTAATGTATGTAAATTGGAAGATCGTCTAGTTTTCTTAACTAAACAATAACTTTCTCAAAATCCACGAGGCGATAATGGTACGCTGAAAAGTTTCATACCGGGCCCTCCCTGTGAAACAGTTATCCGTAAACAGTATGCCTATGCCTCCTTGTTTTTCGATGAATGTTGGCAAATCGCATCGGATAATTTATTATTTCAGTTGAACTAACATGCAGATTTAAGAATATGGAGCCAATCTTTATATTTCGTCTGTAGCTCGCCACAATTTACTGACCACGAAGTCCCCATGGGTTGATGCGGCGTAGAAAAACTTGTTCATCACATTTCGTTTTGTTTACAATCGTGGCTCCCGGACAGCTCATGTGTGAACAGTCGAAAACTGTCGTGTTGAAAGTTCTTTACTAATAACCTACTGCAGTCAGAAATGATAGGAGAGTTGTCAAATCATTGGCATTACCATGAGACGCATGCATAAAGTTTCTCGGGTTTCGTGGCAGGCAGCGGTTCCAAATGTTTCGAATCCGGAAAGAACAGGATAGCCTAATCTTTTCACTGGCCTTGCCAAAAGTAGATTTCAGCCAAATCCAATGTGCCAAGAGTTGATGAGTTTTTATGGTGTTGCCTGAAATGGGAGCGCAGCCGTGCACCACCAATTTATGAAACGTGCACCATCAGAAATCTAAATTTATTTCTGGAAATTCTTTGAATGCCTCACCTGTTCACTATCATTAAAAGTAGAGCAAAACGAGAAAATAACGCAAAATTTATCTCCTCCAGCTGAAAAAATATCGCTTTTCTTGAAGACACTATGGAGCTTCCAATTCGAAACCCGTTCGGCAACAGACTAACCTGCCTCAGAGCAGACTGAAATATATGACAAGGCATGCGGTTTTTTATCAACCAATGAGCAGGCGAGCTTCAGCTTTTGTTTTGACGTCGTCTCGGCAACAAACAAATACCGTGTCGCTGTCCTTGGTAACTGGCCAAGGGAGCGCACTTTTAGACAATATACCTCAACCGACTAATTAATTTTTATGTCTGTAAGTTATTGATAACTTAATTTTTTGTACGATTTCGCAGCAAAATTGTGAATACCACCAAATTGGAGTGAAGCATATATCTGGGAATAGCCTGTGTCGTGAAAATAAAGTCAATGCAAGACCTTGTCTGTAACTGCTATCGACCTTGTCTTCGGTGTGTGCGTGGCGCGCTGTGCAGTTCTGAAGGCCTGCATTTTCCCTGACATCGTGACCCTCAAGCTGAGAATTGGAAAGCACACACATAGAAAAACACATAATACAAAGTCTTAAAAAATTTAAAGTTTCTTCTACAACAAATTTTTTACAGATTGAATGAGTTTGCCTCTTCATAACGCCTTTTTATAATTCGAACTAGACCTTGTTCTTTTGGGAATACTGAATCTTATTTTTCAATCGAGAACAATTCAAAAAGACAGGNCTGGTGCAGGCTTGCAGTGCTGCATGACGATGCTGGAGCAGGCTTGCAGTGCAGCATGACGATGCTGGTGCAGGCTTGCAGTGCAGCATGACGATGCTGGAGCAGGCTTGCAGTGCAGCATGACGATGCTGCATGAGATACAATGAAACGTTGAAGATCATCACATGCCATCACCAGACGCTGGTCGCGTTCTGTCGCGAGGTGCTACCAGGACCCTGCTGCATACTGTCAACTAATCATTATAATTAAATAATTATACAACTAATATATCACTATAATCATGAATAATCATTATAATAGTGAAATGATTTGCGAAATGAGTGAATGTACCAACTGTTTGAGTTTAGTGGCCCGTGGCAGGGAGCAGGTTGGTTACGTCTGGCATTGCCTCAAATTATTGTTAATTATTGGTAACTTATTGTTAAGTATTTGTAAAGATATTGTTAATTTCATTGTTCTAATTAGAGAGAAATCATAAAGGTCTTAGAGGCTCAATGACTAAGTATTATAGTGACATACAATTTGTTAAAGCAAATACTTTTTCAGCAGTAGTTCGATCAGGGTTCAGGGCACGCCGCTATACTGTGTGTGCGGTTTTTTGTAGCAAAAATTTAATGTTGATACCAACGCCACAAAGTAATATTGAAATGCTTAAACTGTATTACAAAATTGCTGACGAACAAATAGTTGGCCATCTTGCTACATTCTAAAACTGACACACGAAACGACTTTCCTGAGTTGCGAGCTGGCAAGCTCAGTGGACAATTCAACAGGAATACTATGTAATTTTCCTATTACTTTAGGTTCTACTTAAATTATTGACGGCAACTTTTGAGGGTACATTTAGGGTTAGTAGGATTTGTCCAGACTCGAAAGTTTATTGAAGTAGAGATGAAGAACGGAGGAGGGAAGTGCATTGACGGATGAATTTTTTACTCCTACGAACAAGCACAGTTATAGGAGTATAGGAACGTACACATTTATATACACCATTATAGGAACACACAATATTAGGAACATACACATTTACACAAGACAAATTATACGCAAATATAAACTCATTGGGCACAATCTATTCTGCCATAGATAATCTAGGCGCTTACCATAAGAGTCAAAACGGCTGGCTGCAAAACTAATTAAAAAATGACTTAACCATATGACATGCCCTTGAAATAGTTGGGTCGACGTTACCAGAACGAATTTTTGAAAATTTCAAGTCAATACTTACTGCGATGCTGTGATTTGCATTAATACTAGCCATTGATTTCAGAATATGTCTAGCGAAGAGTCCCTGCCAGCTTTACACACCTAACAGGGAAAGAAATGAAGTCCAATTGGGGTCTTGTGCGATGAAAATGGGAAAATGATTCGCTTTGAAATATATCCAGAAACCTACACAACTATAAGCTGAAGTAAACTTTGACGACTGAGGAGATATAGACCGATTCGTCAAAATACGCAAGCGGCTTAGTGTCATCGTGAGCGAAGTAACTGACGAGCAGGTGGTACAACGATGACTGGGATTAAATTGATTAGAAGTTAAGGAACACAAGCACTCTCACTCACTTTGAGCGTATTCATACCGTAACGGTGGGGTTTAGTCAAGAATACGTCTTTAAATAATCAAAGAGGCTACAAGTTATCCAGGATGTGTGACCTCTAGAAGCCGCGTTTGTTCCTAGAGTAAATTATTACTTGATTTCTAGTATAAATTTCGAAACATTTTGTATAACGACCCGTTTCCTTCAATATGTATTGCAGAAAATGATCCAACTTTATAATTTATAGTATTATGCATAGGTTTGAAATCCATAAACCCATAGATGTATAGTTACATTTCATTCCACTGAGTTGACGTCTCAAATTCTATTCCGGTCGGCAAACAGTTTCTTTAGCTTCGATCAAGAAGCAGCCAACCGACCGCTGACGCGCATCCAAGGAAGCTCCACGTGCTGCGGCATGCAACCTTATTCGACGGCCTCCCTCCGCCCCCCAACCAACATCTCCACTTCAGTAGAAGCTCGATTCAACCTGGATACACGCAGTTCTAAATCCGTGTTGTAGCGTTCAGAATTCTCACTGAAAGCAAAGTTTTACTATTCAGAATTGGTACATCTCGAATTTACGATGCGGATTTTGCACCAGACGACGCTCACCCTGCGACAAACGCCTCCATCACACTGGAGAGGGACTGAAGCTCTCAGATTGAGGAGCATACACACAAGTCCCCTCTGGTAAAGGATAACTTATCCGTATAAATAAAGTTCTCTACATTAGTGCAAGCAAATTCAACATCAAAGTTAAGAAATGCATTCATTTATTTTAAGGATGACAGTTTCAAAGCTGTCATGCGGCAAACATCGCATTAGCACCCTAATAATTCTTCCAAATAATTGAAAAAATCTATCAATTAGGCGGGGTTTTAAACCTTATACGGCTGTTTCTACAGTAAATCTGAATCGAGTAGCAAATAAAATAGACCAAAAACATTTCGTTATACTGGAATTGAAAATTCAATTGCAATACAGGGGGTTTTTAATGAAAAAATGAGGCAACATTCAGTTCCCCTTATGTTTACTAATGGAGGATTAGTTTAACCACTGAAAATGATGCACATTAGCTCAAGAAATGTTGTCGTAGGTATATAATGGTATAAAATGAAATGAAGAATAAAAGTAAATGAAAACTACAGTAACAAACTATTAACATATACAATTTAAGTCAAAAATATAACATGTGTTCTTTTTGCTCTAGTTCTTACTCTGGACCAAAGATTCAAAGCCTCTCTGAAGTTAATAAATAAACAAGAATTCAGAACTAACAGCAGTTGAACAACAAAGCTGATTATAATGCAAACAATACGAGCATATAATAGACTGATAATCACATTCATGAGTACCTCTAAATACCACAACTGAATAGGAACAGAAAATTATCGAAAAATAAACAGACTAAATGATAAAATAACTCGTACCTCAATGGTGGATAACACGTGTGAAAAAGTAGATGGCAGAGGTGACTTACGAGCTCACTCAAAACCAACATGAAAATGCCTGTAACCTAGTATTATAGAGAAACAATAAACGAACGGTACTCCCTTACACCGTGAATAATAAATCCTTTCACAACTATACAATTTGAGAGGTCAAATTGAGAAATATTCACGGTTCATGTTCCGTTCAATTTATTGACGTAATTATAAATAATTACCACCAGTGACTGACAGCCATTTGATGCTCTTGGTTCGATATTCAACTATTCTGAGGTTTTGGTATCCACTGAATAATGCTGATAGTTGACAACTCGATAATCGCAACATTATTGGAATTGCGTGTCGTATGAAGCTCAGAGCGCGGCTCGCAGTATACCCTATCTATTTGCACATCCCGCTTCTTCATGATCTCGAGCAGCTGCTGTCCGCCATAGCTAGTCAGACGGTCTCGAGGTAGGACCAAGTGAACCGAGTTATTTCTGAAACGAGAAATATGATTGAAAATCTGCAAAAATTTGGCCATTGTCTATGAAAGCTATATTCTTCAACTAAATACCAGGCACCACTAAATAGTACGGTAATTGCAATAAACAAACATTGCTAATCAGTGAATTGCCAACGGAATGATCTACTGACCTGGTATTTTTTGTTAAGAAGCCAGACTGTTGGAAGCTGGAAAAATATTATTTAAACTATAATAACAATATGACAATAGAACTTTTTTCTACAAATAAATGCTTCGCTTTAATTAACACTGCGAGAATATCTGCTAAACGCGCTCTATTCAGAGTCTTTTTTCACTTCAAAGATCGTACACATGCGTGCTGTGGGTTGCTGACCTCCTACGGACGGTCGTCTCGTCCGGGTCAAGCCAGTCACTACTAAGCACCATAGTAAGATATTTTCAGCCACACTTTGGACGAAGTTTAGCAGGTAAAAATTTTCGCATAGTGTAAGAATTTCCGCCTTTCTACTTACCGATAGGTATTATTATCCACGATAGACAGGATCTTTGACATCCAGCCTAAGTCGGCGTCGCTGAGGTCCGGGAAATGCCAGCGACCGATGTTCCAACCAAGGCTCTTCAAGAAAGTGCCAGTGCTGTTCGGCACCTCTTGAAGGCAGCAAACTTCAACTGTCGGAAGACACATGCCATTAATCCAGCTATATTTTATTCTTTATTAATACCCAGCTTATTGCGTCTGCGGGGTTGTTAGTACCCTGCAATATTACCATATTGCGGCATACAATTCTATTGGATGTTGTATGACGTGTCAGTTGTTTCAATTTGATAACCAAGTTGCACACTAGAGAAAGCTTACGATGAACTAACGAAACGGGTTATGCCGGAAGATATAAATATACTATATATAAACGTAGAAACTTAGAATTCAATGGAACGGGGAGAAAACAATGGATTTCAAAGGATTCCGCGTTAGTTTACAAGTGAAAAGATATCTTTCAAGGGAGACATCGCGTTCATCTAGAAACATGACCATTGAAAGTTATTAATTCGGAAAATGTGACAAGCAGTCAGTATTAGTCAGTTCACTAAGCACTAGTCTCTGCTAGAATCTTCCACGAGTCGGGCTGAGACTTTCATAACAACTGGAAGATAGCATTCGAACATGAAGTTTTAATTAAATTATGAAGAAGGAAAAATTAATGACTAACATATCGGGGGTGGCAACTCTGCGCAGCGTTCGACATCCTTCACGGAGGCGAGACGAACGCCGAGCCCGCGATGATCAAGACTTCTGGCGTTCAAGTGAGCCAGGATTTGGTCAGGAGAGCCGTACACGGCATTGATCCGATGACTGTAACAAGGAAAGCAGAACGAGATAAATGCTACAGCTAGAAACCTTAGTACCGTTTGCAGTGATAGTTTTCTGAAAATATATATTCCATCTATTCATTCAACACTCAAACGCTCCAGCCCAGCAATGATTATCATGTCAGACCCAAATTCTTTATTGATTGTCCCCAGGTCTTCGTCGGTCTGCCCTGCCGGCCTCCAGAAGGAGTCCAGAGGCAGCAAACTGATGTCGCCGGTGTCGTGCGCGGTAAGGCGGGTCAGTAACTCGCCGAGCCGCGGGATGGGGCTTGTGTGGGTGGATACCACCATAAGGTGACTGGGCTTCCTCTTGTTATAAAGGCTTGCGAGAGCTCGCTCGCCTTCGCCGTAGTCAGCCACCGTCCAAGGCCTACCAGCCGGCATGAGCTCGTGTGGAGCTATTGGTGACTGTAGATCAATAAATGAAATAGCTAAAAGGCAATTCGGGAATGAAAACAATAAATTAAATGTTATAGTGGCAGGGTGCCCTTGTGATCAAAGTTCAGTGTACTAGGATTGGAGCAGAGAGGTTCAGGTTCGATCCTACCTTTGTGCGCCAGTTTACGATCAGAATCGGCTAGAAGCCAGGCGACTAAGCATAACAGAATTGGAGCGCATTACAGAATTGGAGCAGTGAGTTGCGCATTCGAAAGTCACAAGTTTTCTTTCATCATTATTCGAGTTGCAATTCACATAATTGCAATTCACACAATTCGAGTTGCAATTCACACTCACCTTCAAAGAATCACATGTCTTGCTAGCAGCATCAAGCTGAGTTTTAATTTCCATTAACTTCATACTTCCTTCAGGCATCAACTTGAGACGGCTGATAATTTCTTTGTTTTCTTGCGTTTTGTTAGCATCAGCACTGGCTGCCAAGTCATCCCAAGCCTGGAGATCTTTCTCTGTAGAAGCTATGTTGACAAGAAGTAAATCCCTCCAACCTTCAACATCAGTCTTTAGGTGGACGATTTTCTCAATCAACTTCAAAGTGTCATTACACGCAGAGACAATATTGTTCATGCTTGCAAGTTTTTCATTCAATTTCAATCTTATTTTGTCTCTAAAGTCGATATCATCTGCCCGAACGAGGTCTTCCAACAACTCTATTCTGTGTTTGGCGTGGGTGTCCCTGGTACACGCAAAACACAGGGGTTCTATGCAGTCCACACACAGGTAGTGCAGGTCTTTTCCTTGATGAGGGCACGCTTCTTCACACTCGTAGGGCCTCTTCCGTTTACATGGCTGGCTACCAGAGGGTATTAATGCGTAGTTTACCAATATTCTGTCAGCAGGCTCCGAAATTTGTTGTCTACATGTAGGGCAGTTTCTAGTTTCAGCAACTTTGATCAAACTTGCAACGCACGAGAAGCAAAAGGTGTGACCGCATGTTAAGCAAAGCGGTTTGTGGTTGTAAGTGTCGAATTCTTCACTGCAAACACCGCACACTAATGTTGAAGTGGCCATATTCAATGCTAGTAGTAGTATTCAATGCTAGTAGTAGTCAATTATTGAAGTAGATTATGCGTTGCCAACCTTATATTAGAAGCAACGTTAGATCAGAATTCGTCAGCACGTGCACTAACTGGTCGAACTTTTTTCAATACTTATGCAACTTTAAACCTAACCTGCCTATAAACTAAGAAGCATAAATTAATAATTTTGACCAAAATATTCAGACCTACAATCGGACGGCAAAACACAGCTTACTGGGCGTTCGAAAGTGAAATTAAAGCTTAGTACACGTGTGATATAGTTTGAGCCCTTCCATAAAGTATTGTCGCATTTCAATCAGTCATTACAGTAACATTTTCATTACTTTAAGTTTCCAAGAATAGTACTGCAGTTTGAAATAAATTATTTTGCGGAGGCATTTAGTAAATCGAAGAAATCGAGAGAAATTTACTCCTCCATCCACGTCTCTGAAAAATTGACGGCCGGAATTGCGGCCGGTCTCGCGGCCACTCCCCAAATTCAATGAACGAGGAATATCATATCTATCACAGTAATTAACGTCGGTCGATGAAACGTGCTACACGTATTTACTTTGACGTAACTGTGATGTTTACCTCATGAAAATTTTTCAAATTTCTGCTTCGTGAGTTATATGGCGATACGTGCCGAAATTTGCAGTGAACGAGAAATTTCTTTCAAAATACTGAACAGATTCGAACGAAACTTTCTATAGAAATGCCTAACCTCCCAACCGTGAGGTTTGACTCATGACGAATTTTTCGATTTTGCCTTCGTTCGCGAGTTATACGGGTATACGGAGAAACGACCGGCATTTCTCAGACCGATTTTTAAACTTGCATTGACCAAGAGCCGTATCCCCATAGCCGTATAACTCGCTAAGGCAAAATCGAAAAATTTGTCACGAGCTAAACATCACCGTTGGGAGATTATGTATTCATATGCAAAGTTTCGTTTAAATCTGTTTAGTAGAATGTTGGGAGAAATGTCTTATTCACTGCGAATTTCGGCACGTATCGCCAAATAACTCTCGAATGAAGCAGAAATTAAAAAAAAATGTTCACGAGCTAAACATCACCATTACGTTCTAACAAATACGTGTACAAAGTTTCATCGAGCTACGTTCATTACTTAGACAAGTATTCCTTGTTCACTGAATTTGGGTAGACCGGCTACGAGTCCGGCCGCAAGTCCAGCCGTAAATTTGTCTGAAACTTCCTCCATCCTCACTGTTCCTGAGCTAACAATCCTTCATTGCATCCTCCCATATATACACTAGGATCATGCACACACCTGGACTGATCAAGAAATACGGTGATTCTAATTAGTTACACTAAATGTATTCAGCTCGAAAGATAGTGTACCTACTTCACCGTTACCTGCGACATCACATACCAACGGTTGTTGGGGTGGGGCCGCAGATTGTTGTGAGGTTGCAAGTCGTCTAGTGTTACATGAATCGTTGTTCCGCCCCCACTCGTCCTAGTCAAGCTGAGCTCTACCGTACTCAGAGCTACTACACCCTTTTACTGTAACTCTAAACAACGCGTTCATAACATGGAGGACTAGAAAGCCAAGGAATCAATTTTTAACTAATTGAGCACTGTGGTCACCCGACTTTCAAGATGTGAAATGCAGGTATTACAATAATCTCGATGCAATGTAGTAAATGGGTGATATGCTCCTAGAATAGAAAAAGGAAGATTTCCTGGGCTGCGGAGAGGAGAAACATGACTCATAATAAACTAACGCATATTAAAGTTAAAAGAATACAATAACACAATTTACGTCAGCATTTTCACTGCCTTGAATTCCAGCATGGCTGGCTGGTGGCACAAAATGCTTTTCCGTCTACGGACGCGGTTTAGCAACAAATTGTGCAACCCTTCTAAATGTCCCACACACGCTCAATGTTCATGCTGCTTGCCGTTCTCTGACTCGCCTATTTGGTTGGATGAAGGGAATTACAGTAGCTAGTTTCAGGTACAGAATCTCTCAAACTACTCTACTTCCAAAATTATTTCCTACACGAGCCTTATCAATGGAATGCGGAGATAGTAGGTATTATTTAATTGTTAATTACAGACTAAAAACAAACCACCAACAGATCATAATCCAATAACATTTAACTGCAATAAAATTTGTAGTCGAGATGCAATCGTGCGTAGGGAAAGGATATCTGTAATGAGCTTGCCTGCTGCTTCACTAACCCCAATATTGGGACTCGTATACAGTCTCTTCAGAAAATTCTCCAGGATAAAGGCCGCTTAGCTGGAGTTATTGTAGATAAAATTGACTAGGTTCATTGCAGAAGTAAACTTCAAACGCCATCCTATGCTTCTCTGGCTTCATCAACCACTGCGGGCTTAAATTAAGGAAGAAATTTACAGAGATCTGTCGAGACGCAGCATGGAAGAAATTAAGCATTCATAGAAATAACAGAAATAAACTCATTTAGTAACCATGATGTGCAGAATTGATTGTAGGACGAACTTGTAAACAATGATTGGTGCGTGACGTGACTCATAATAATTGGTACCGGCAGCATACGTTAACATCCATGCTCCTCGTATGGTAAACATGATCATATTACACAATAGACTTCCTGTAATCTAGCGGAACCGAATATTCTTCGACACAATTGCTGAACGAAAGTTTATGATTTAAATAATGCTAGAATTGTACACTCCGAATTTTTAACTTCAAATTCGCTCAGCATTCATGAGAGTCCCGTATCGCCACCATCGCCAAAATATTTAAATAAGTGTGAAGATATTCAAAACTATAAACATGAAGGTGACACCCGATACTAAATTGGCTGACAGGTCTGTCTATGCATTGACAGTCTTTACATTGTACAACACAAATAAATACAGTTTCCCTTGGGTAGATATTAAATACTAATGAAATATCCACACGCTTCCCATCAAACGTTCCCATTTTAAATTATACTTTGCAGTTTACTCAACACTTTTCGGGAATGTCTGGTTAACTATAACTGTACCAACAGCCATAAAAAATAGATATAACATATGTTTAACAGTGCGTAATCATAAGCACTGAGAGCAACGTAAAATTGCGATCGCATGACCTAAACACTTGGTCAATAAACATTAGACGTCATCGCCTGGCCTGCTGGCGATCACAAGTACAATTACACGGACAGTTACTGAGCGCATCAATTCTTTCTTGTTCGTTCTTTAAGAAGCCCGGCGGCCAGAAAATGACGGAAAAATTATGAGGTTTTCTTGCATCGAATCCCTGACCTATTGTAAAGAATTATCTATGAATAATTTATTTTAGTAACATCACGGTCGACTATGTCGTGATAATGGGGACATTTCGATTGGCTGCATAGATAACGTTCGTTAAATTCTATTGTTGTTCACGCGAGAATCGACATTTGGACATAACTTCGGTCATGTTCAAAGAATGTTCAAGAAAATGACACACACACAATGTTTGTTTTCTGAATCCCCTTCATATGCACATACGGGCGACGTCGCGGATATAAGCCTATAGTGTTATGGTCTAGCATGAACAACTTTTTTATATAATTAATTATCGTGAATGTGATATAGTAAAACTGCACCGTGAGTCAGAAGAGTAGGAGTGGTTTGAACAACAAACTATACTGGTTTACTGGAGCTCTACTGGCAATCAAACTGTAGTGCAGAGATTTGAAGATGCTAATTAAGAAAAAAGACTTGATTGTTCTGATATGATAGGTTTTGAACGTAACTTAAGTTACTATGGGCTTCAAGCGCAATAATACCCTAAGGAAAATCTACCCTTTAAATAATGTCAAAGGTGTGTCCTGAACAGCGTTAAAGTCCGTCAAAGATCAGAATCCGCCATAATTTTTTGACATTCAGTTACGCCAGGCTGCAAATAACGGAGCGTTACAGAGCTTCATTGATAGTAAAATTACTCTGAGACAAAGTTATTTGGTCCCTGGATAAAAGATGACGGAAGCAATATTACCATAAATACCCTGACTTTATTAAAGCCTTTACAACGTCTGTAGAAAGACAGAAAACAATCGCGCCAGGGATCTTCAAGCTTAAAGCGGCCACCTCTGACGCAGGCGTGACCGTCACAATTGACGACCCAAACTTGACGACTGCCGACACAGCGAAAATTAAACATCAATGAAAACTCGGGGCCGTGCTGAGATAAGAATGAAACACCAGCTTAATTCTCCTCGTCTCCGCACTGTTTGAAAAGTGCCTGTAAAAATGGCCCCAACGGAGTTACAGTGGCTAGGTACATACCGTAAAATGAAACGGTGGAACGTTTTCAGTAAAAAATACGCCTGTTTTTGTGCTAATACGATACGGCTTTCTATAGTTATATCCAGAATATGATAATATGATTTGATGTCAGAAGGCATCATGAATAATAATTTGAGGAATTACTGTTGAATTGTATATTAATAACACGATAATTAACTCGTATATATTAACTGTGAGCATGCAGGTAAAAAATTTCACATATAGATGCATCTTCATTAATAAAATAAACAAAAAAAAACACGTCCCGTAAATACAGGGTCATCAATATTTAGCGTTACATTTTTTCCAAAATAAATTGTTGACAATTGTCCTCGATATTTGTCATTTGTTTACACCTTCTCATTAATCTTTATCATTATTTATCATTTATCATCTTTATGGTGTCAACAAACACCAACTGCCTGCTCAAGTTGTTGACAAACACCTCCAAAGATCCAAGATTCTTCTTTCCCGCATTCATGATGGCACGCTGCCAAACCTCGTTTTCAGTGATGAGAAGATATTCAATGTTGAACACCACTTCAACTCCCAAAATGATCAAATTTGGTCGAAGAATGGGGACGAAGGATCACGTGTGGTGACTAGGAAGCAATGCCCGACCTCAGTGATGGTCTGGGCAGCCGTAACTGAGTCCTCAAGGAATCCCCTCTTTTTTTGTTGACAAAGGGGTGAAATTGAATGAGAAAAACTATCGAGATGCCATCCTTGCATCTGAGCACGAAAGCACTTCAAAAAACGTCCCTGGTCGTTCCAGCAGGACTCTGCAAATCGATTCAGGACTGGCTGTCCGAGAATGTTCCCCACTTCATTACCAAAGGTGAATGGCCCCCATCGTCACCCGATCTGAATGCTCTGGATTTTGGGATCTGGTCATACCTTCCCAAATAAAAATTAAGAGTGGAGCACCTATGTTTTTATGATGGCTATAGGCGGACGCCATAGGTGGAGCAGCTTTGATTTATACAGTGAATTAAGGGTGGCGTGCACCATCTTTACCATACCTATAACCGGCCTATGGCCCCCCTAAACGTAAAGCTCTCCTTCCGCC